CACCCCCCAACACCCCAGAGGGGTGGTAGATCAATCACCTCTGGTCCCAGCTGAACCTGCATTGCAAAAAGGCAGGTCCATGGGGCCTGGAGAGACTCACGCCCCACTTTCCTCTCCATTAGTCTCACTCAGTATTCTATGGAGAGCTCTTCCCAAACCACTATCTGTTCCGCAGCCTGACAACTTGGTCCCAGGCCATTGGTACTAAATTCCCCCATGTCATTAACTATCCTCCTGATGTTCCCCATGACCCCTTCCCTTCCAGAAAATGGCACATAAGCTACTAAATCACTTTGGCCAAGAAGGTGAGTAACTTTGCATAGCTTTTCCCTCCTTCTAATCTCCCTGCTGCCAGCTCTATTCAGTGAGGCTTGTAGGGAGAAGGGACTTTCCCTTCTGCCCAAGTACTGGCCAGTCCCGAGGCCAAACCCCATCTTCACTGCTACAAAACACAGTGGGGCAAAGACCCCTGACTAGCAGTGAATTCACTTCACAGGACAAGCACAGTAAAGGCACACGGCAAGGAAAAGGGAAAAATAAAAGGAAATCTTCGTTCAGCAAATATTTCCTGAGCACCGACTAAGGGCAGGCCACATATGGCAATCCCTACAGGACGACTCCAGCAGGCAGTTCCTCCCCCTGCATATATATATGCAAATATAAACATATGACTCATCAGGCAGTGATAAATTACATGACAACAGATAGAGGCAGCAGGGGCCATCAAAGTTTCCTGGCTCCAGGGCTGGGGCAGGCTACCCAAGGAAGTACAAGTCTTTGCAGAAATCTGAGCAAAATAAAAGAGTGAGTGTGAGGATTTGGAGACACCCAGGCAGAGGGAGCAGGGGGTGTCAAGGTGTACAGCCCTGCCTGCTGCTGGTATTAACAGCAAGTAACTACAAAGAACGGCAACAGAGCCCCAAGGCTGGGGTGCTGTGTCGGGGAGCTACAAGAGCTGTCAGGCTGAACAGAGAACTGATGAGATTTCACATCCAGGTTAAAGGGATCACTGTTCCTACCAGGTGGAGGCAGGAGTCAAGGACAGAAGCCTGAGAACCCAAGGGGAGGCTGGGGAAAAGTCTAGGCAGAAGGTGGTAGAGCAGGGGGAGAACAGTCAAATTCTAACTAATTATCCCTCTGTTCCATGGGGGATGAGTTCCAGATACCAAATGCCACAGGTGCTCAAGTACCTTATATAAAATATGTAGTATTTTCATAGAACATATATGCACACTCCTATATTTTGCTAAACAATCCTCTAAGACAAGAACTCTGAGGCCAGGAAAGTGTCCCTTGTCTGAAGTCCAGAGCTCTGTCTTTTCTAAGGCAGACCTTGCACCTGTTTGATCCTCAGTGGCCCTGCACATAGGTTATTTGAACCACAACCTCCCTCCTCTTCCTTCCTCCATTAATATCTCCTTGAACATACTTTGCTGTATGAACTTGCTTCTACTGTTGGCATGCATTGAGGGGTAACCCTCATTGAGTCATGTTCTTGGGGGTAAACCCTACTAGAATCCCCTCCACTAGACTTGACAAACCTGTGACCTTCTTCCAGCCCACAGAAAGTGGCAGATTATGTAATGTCACTGCCATGGTTACACTGCGATATCGGAGTCCACTTGGCAGACCCAAGGAAGAGGTGGGAGGTGGGAGAAGACTCCTGAGAGCCTTGAAGGAACAAATGGCCCTACTGTGTGAGGCTTCAAGGGAGCCATGTGGCAACTCCAGCTGACACCAGCAGGGGCCCTTGGTTTTATAAATTCAAGATGAGTTTCATAAAGTAGATCTTTTCATAGTTAAGCCTCTGATAAGATGTTGGTCTTAGTGCAGTGAGATCCTGGCAGAAGACCCAGTAAGCCAGGCCTGGCTTCTACAGAGATGGTGAATTAAAGGGGGTTGGGGGTGATTTTTATCAGCATAGAACATGAATATAACTACCAATGCTATTCACATGGCTGTATTTGATGCTGTCCAACTCATAAATTAAGGGGGAAAGTGTAATTTTCACCTTGTCTGCTTAAGACAGTATCTGAGGGTGAGGCTAAATAGACATTCTCATACTTTGCAACCTTTATGGAATATAATTTTACCATTCTTTCAAATGTACAATTACATATATCCTCTCACCAAGCAATTCCATTTGGGGGAGTTTATCTATAGGTACACTTGAATATGGATAACAACACAAATACTAGGGGGTTCAGTGCATCATGGTTTGTGATAGCAAAGACTAGAACACTGCCTAATTGTCCACCGACAGGGGATTGTTAAGTGTATTACAGTCCCTAGAAATGCTAAACAGACTTTAAAAGAATGAGTAACATTTTTACATACAGAAACAGAAAAAAATCAAAAATATATTTGAAGTTTAAAAAGTCAAGGTGAGGGGCTAGGGCTGTAGTTCCATGGTAGAGCACTTGCCTTCCATGTGTGAGGCACTGGGTTCAATCCTCAGCACCACATAGAAATAAATGAATATACTGTATATCTACTGTTGGGGTGCAGCAGAACGGCGGAGGGGAGAAACCACATAAGAGACTCACTTCATGCAATCGCAAGGGGGAAGTTTATTGAGGATCCTGTTCCAGCGCGCTGGGACTCTGTGCCCACTCAAGAAGGG